ACACACACACACACACACACACACACACACACACACACACACACACACACACACTGCACGATGCAGTTATAAAAAACCCCTGATTTCCTCAAGGTTGGGAAATGGGTGTCACGTACGCCGGTTTACGGCTACAACATCTTCATATTCGGCCCCTATTTCCCAACCACAACGTAAAAGCTGTAGGTAATGTGGTACGGTAATACCAGAGAGAGAGCGAGAGAGAGCGAGAGAGAGCGAGAGAGCGAGCGAGAGAGAGAGAGAGAGAGAGAGAGAGAGAGAGAGAGAGAGAGAGAGAGAGAGAGAGAGAGAGAGAGAGAGAGAGATCCCCTTCACATTATCCTCGCATCCTTCACATGACGCGCCATTGTCCCCACTTCGCCTCTCTCTCTCTCGTACGCGCGCGCGCGCTGCCTGTCATTCTATCTGTTTCTGCCATAACACACGGTACTAATGGAAAAAACCATTGCCTGACAGAGTTGCCCGACCTCGCAATGACATTAATGATATCAATCATTTGTGAAATCTTTGAATATCTGTCTTTCTGTCGTTCAATTCCCTAGATATCAAGAAAGTAGACAAACCCGACGATACCCGTGCATATGCGGGCAGAATGACTGCGAACCCTTGTGATGTGGTCAGAGCTCAGGATAGAGCAAGAGCCATGATGGATGACTGTTGGGCGGACATTGTTCAGAGGCAACAAGAACACATAGATAAACTGACGGCCGAACTGCGTGAGCAGAGAAAGTTGGGTAGACAGATGATTGCGTTGACGGAAAGTTATGAGAACGAGGTATCGCTGTTGAAGGCAAATTGGGAACACGGCATGTGCAGCGTGTTGTGGTTGTTTGGCGGTCTGGATCGATATCACAAAGAGAGAAATAGTCTGAGGCAGAGGGTTGAAGAGTTAGAAGCAATCTTGAAACACGCAGAACTTGCGTTCCCGCCTGTTGATATTCGCATAAATAGACGGAGACGTCTGCCCCGATATGTCCCTCATCAGTGGGATGTGAAATGTTGTCCGGCAGGAGAAAAATGTGTGTTGGGGCAAGGGTGGGCGTGTTACGATAGCGAGGAAAACAGGTGCAGTGAGATGTGCGCTTCATCAAGCACACACGTTCACCTTCTGTCTTTCTCAGAGGACTGCATCAAACATTGTGTAGAAACTATCAACTACTACACTTGTCTGAAATATCGGGGCGACATGGACCTTGAATGGCAGAGCAATTTGACTCCGCCCAATATATAGGGTCTGCTGAACAGTTGCACAGATGTCATGGACAGTCTCAAGCACACATGTGCATCGTTGTTGTATGGACACCGAGTGTTTTTGGATGGGGAGGGGTGTACCAAGGAAAACAGGAACACCGACGGAGAGATGCGATTTGTGAAG